AAAAAAAAAAAAAATGAATCCGGTAGCTTTTACTAATTCTTCCTACAGCCAGCTGTCTTTGAGACCTTCTAAGCTTGGGAGCTCTGGTAGCATAGTGGCTAAGGCACTTGACTGCTAACCAGAAGGCTGGTGGTTCAAACCCACCAGCCACTCCTCGGAAACCTAAGGTGGGGTCGCTATGAGTCAGGTCCGACTTGAGAGCACATAACAACAAGAAGCTTGGCACCACTCATGTTAGAACTCCCTAGAAATAAACCTATAACATAGTCACAGGGCTTCATTCAGTTTTTCACTTTTTGTCACTGAAGGAGTGGGCAGAGGAGGAAACCATAGTTTACCAGCAGCTTTAATAAAGAAAAATATATTTGACTTTCTGAGTGATCAGTTATCTTTGGTGGTCTTCCGGCACTGATGCGGACCGTCACTCTTTGGTTTTGCCAGGCTCGCTGTGATGCCTCCTCCTTTGAAAGTGTGCGTTGCACCTTTTGTGTGGATGCCGGAGTGTGGTACTACGAAGTAACAGTGATCACCTCTGGCGTCATGCAGATAGGCTGGGCCACTCGAGACAGTAAATTTCTCAATCATGTGAGTACACTGGGAACTGTGCAAATAGGGGAGAAGCAGCTTGCATTTGTTTGGGTGGGTTGGTGGGTGATACTCTGGCATACTTATTTTTCAAACAGTTTTATAAAATAGTCATTTCTGCGACTGAGCCATATGTGCCAAACCCCTAATAAACTGATTCAAAATCAGGTAAACAACAAGGGAAATTGCCCCTCAGCCTTTTGTTTTTCCTGGAGTCCTAAGCTCCCATTAATTTTCTGCTAGAAATTTAATGTGCCGTTTGTCTTTGTGGGCTCCTGCCTCGCCTGCAGGGTGTGCTCTCTGGCCAGTTTACGCTCCTCTGACACCTAGCCCAAGGGGCTTTCTTCTGGTGGCCAATTGATAAGCTGTTTGAAAGTTAATCCATTTTCAGTCAGGAGTATTTTGTGTACATGTGATTTCTACCCTTTGAGTGGAGAGGGCCCTTTGATTATCTTTTAATCTAAAATGATAGTCCCCCATCCCATTTGTAAGATCCTGAGGTGGGTTTTAGAAGTGATTGAACAAAATCAAACTAAATTTGCATATCATAAGCACATTTTTAAAATTTTTTATTGTGATTTAAGTGAAAGTTTACAGAGCAAATTCATTTTCCATATAGCAGTTCATACACATTTTGTCTCATGACATTGACTGCAATTTCCCACAATGTAACACCTCTCTTCCCACTTCCTTCCCATAGTTATAGTGAGTATGAGTCCTTCCTTAAAGTTCCTCAGGTAGTAAGGTTGGCTATAGTCTACAGAAGAGTATACTTGGGACTCTTCAGACAAGAATTAGATGGAGTACTTTTAATAACAGTACTCTCCTATTCAAAACCTTTATTGGCACCCTAGTTCCTGCTGTATCAATATGGTACTGCCTAATTAACTCTTCCCAATGCACTGTGTCCTTCCTTCCCATGTACTCCTGTCCCCCGAGCTATCTCCCTGTGCATACACAGCCCTTTTGTTCTCCCATGATTGATCTCTCCAAGGAGTGTATCTACCTGATATAAATGTTCAGCCTATATGCCTGTCTGTTATTTGGCTGGAAGCCACAGAAGTGAATTCAGTTCCAGATTTGAAGGGCAGCTATGGGCCATAGTCTCAGAGGTTTCACAGGGCTCCCATCAGACCAGCAAACCTGGTCTTTTTTTTTTTTTTTTAAATGATTGTGAGTTTTGTTCCACATTGTTCTCCCACCCCATCCAGAATCTTCTACACAAATCCCTCTCCGAGTGGTTCACAGTTGTAGCCGGGCACAATCTCGTTCTTCTGGTCTCACGGTCATATAGGCTAAGGATCTCGTGGTCTTCCAGTCCCTTGGACTAATTGTTCCCATGTGTCTTTGGTTTTCTTCATTCTTCTTTGCTCTGGATGTGGAGAGGTCCAACATTGCCGCTGCATGGCCAATAAGCAGTTTTTAAAGGGACCTTTTGGCAAGGCTGAATTGTACCAGGGATTGTTAATGGCATTTTACTAAAATGACTGGACTGGACAGACAGATTGGAGGAGGAGGGCCAGTGGAGAGGTCAGGTCTGACTCCCTATCTAGGGTGAGCTAGACCACTGTCACTGTTGCTCTCTCCCTGGGAACTTCCCCTCATGCAGCACCTCTTAACCTATAGGGCCCTTCAGTGAAAACCCGGAAGCATAAGGCTTTTGTTGTGGCACCACATAGTCAGAAGTAATTGGGTCTGGAGAACAAGCCCAGTAAGCCTCCAGTTCCCAGCTACAGCACTGGTTTAAAACATAGTGTCAACGGTACTGACACCGGTCTCAAGTGATGTCCTAAAGATTTTTTTTTTTCAATTTTTTATTGTGATATGGATGCAAATTTACAAAGCAGTTTTTCTCTCTCCTCCCATGTCCTCCCTGTGACTATCCCTTCCCTGGGCCTTTCTTATCCATGCATTCCTGTCTGTCCAGCTTTCCCTCTGTGGGAATGCTGCCCCTCAGATGTCTCATGGTTGATTGATCTAGGGGATGCATCTCCCTGGGGTAGGTGTTCTGCTTGTAGGTCTTTCTGTTTGCTGAGAACTAATCCATGGAAGTGAGTCCAGTTCCAGGCCCAAAGGATAACCCAGGGCCATAATCTCAGGGGTTTCACTATCTGACTAGTAATTCTGGTCATTTTTACATTTTTGAATTTTGCTCCACAATGTTCTTCCCACTCTATCCAGGATATCCAATTTTGATCTCTTCCACGCAGTTGGCATCGGTAGCCAGTCAAGCATCATCTAGTTCTTCTGGTCTCAGGGTCGTGAAGGCTGAGATCCCTGTGGTCCATCACATTCTTAGACTTACTGCTAAAGATGATTAAGGATTTTTTTAAAAATCTTAATTTCCAGAGCATCTTTATAGCCTATCATCTGATTCGCATAAAATTTTTACAATCACTATTTCCATTTCACAGATGAGAAAACAGGCTGAGAGTAGGAAATGAAGGAACTAGGACTAGAATTTAGTCCCCTTCCTATTCTATCATAGTTATTTTCTTCGTATTTGAAAATTGGAAGAATCTCAGAGATTATTAGTTTGTCTTTCCTGTTAGAACTGAAAAATTATTCCAGAACTAGAAGAAGTATCGATTCCTTCAGGAGAGAAATATGGTACAAGAATTCTCCCTCCCTACTTGGCACCAACACACTATCGGACTAGGTGAAATATATCTGAGGCTAAATGTCACAATTTTAAAAAAATGGCCAGTAAAGCTGGATCATGAGAAATTCGTTATCTGGTAGATGAAACTGTCATTTCTGCCATTATAGTTACAGATTTTTGGCTCCTCAAGTTAAGAGGCTTAAAGTACTATTTTACCACCATCCAAATTGCTTGGTAGACTACTGGTTTCATTCTTTTTTAAAAAAAAAAAAAAACATTTTTCCTGATCTAAACACTGGCTGGTTCTCTGTTAGAAATCATTAAAATTTGATACATCTATTCCTAAATTTAGGATCTTGATGATATTGCCATTCTTTGCTTCAAATAGGCATTGTTCTTTGTTCTAAATTTTTTTTAACTGTACAGACAGGGTGTGGTTTTACAGAGTAAGTCATTCCTAGGATACACCCAGTTTCTAAAGATTGGAAGTCCATCCATCGTGCCTCTTAATTTTAACTCTCACTCTGTAGGCTTCCATTTTGAGAGGACGAACAAACTGCTGGGCTCAGAAGCAAATCACTGAAATGAAAAGTTTAGGGATAATTCTTGTGCAGGTTACCTTCAGAGTAGTTTGTTTTGTTATGTTGTATCGTTTTATGGTGAGTTGTTGGAAATGATTCTTCAAGGGTATATTTTGGCTTATCTAAAATATCTTAAGTTTTCATGGGCATCTACTATGTGCCAGGTCTTTCACATACATCATCTCTAACCTTTTTGAGAGTCTGGAAAGGTTTGTTCTCCTTTTTAAAGATGAGGAAGATAAGATTCAGAGAAGTTAATTAAGAAACTTGCCCAAAGCCATCTAGCTTCCAAGTGCTGGAGCAGAATTCAAATCCCAACCAGGGTAGTCCATGTTCCTTCTCCTGTTGAAGCATCCTACCTTGGAGAAAATGACTCTATCAGAAGGAATGACTTGGCAGCATGTGGGGGCTCCCAGAACTGTTGAGGCGCTGGGGAACCAGACAGGCTCCAAGGCAACTTCAGATGTCCAAGAGATGGGAAGTACAACAGCCAGTGTTTTAGAGGAATGGTCTGTCCAGGATGCAGCCGCCACTGCCCCCATGAATCCATTCACACCTTCCCTCTCTGAGGGGTCACTTGTGATAGAGGGTCCAGTTGGCTGAGCTGAGGTCATATCTTACCAATCCAGTTCCAGATAGGACACTGTTTCTCACACATCCTCCAATACAAAAGGCGGAGTTGAGATGCCGAACAGCAGAAAGAAAAGACGGTGTCCATCACGTGGAGCAGGGATTCAAAGTATTTGCTGAATGACTACAAGCTTTCTTTTGTTTGTTGTTAGTAATGTTTCCATTACTAAAATATACATGATTAGAAACAGGCAGTTCAAAATTATCACCTCAAATAACAAGCTAGCCACTCTGTTCTCTCATTTATCTGTCCCAGCCACTGAAAACCAAAGTTCATCCTACTGGGACTGTTTCCAGGTTGAAAGAGGGTATAGCACATCTAGGTTGTTCGCTGAGACCTGAGCTCAAAACTATTTTTAAAGTACATCTCTGCTTGATAGAGGCACCTACTTCATAGAGCTATGGGAACAGATGTGTGGTTCAAATTATTTGACTCCCTCCATCCCATAATGCCACTGTGTTGTGGAATTCATGCAGGTAGAGAAGACAGTGCATGATACAGAATTTATAAGGTATCTGCTCTTCACCAGCTCTTGGTGGCTAGGAATCTTCTAGGAATTTCCTTTAATATTATGTCCTAAATAATAGAAAGTAAAGATAGAAGAGAATTGTTTGCTTCTTTCCCTGTGCTCCCCGCCCCCCCCCCCAACAGCCCAAATTGTGATGGTTTTTGAGTTTTTGTACTTACTAGTTTGTTCAGCCTTTGAAAAGGATAGCAAAGTACTCTTTCTAGTAGACTGGGGAATTTCTTTCACTAAAGTCAATTAGATGCAAATTCAGGTAGCTCTTGAGTGGTCTAAATAGTGCATGTCTGTAGCTCACTCAGCAGCCTCACTTTGGAGGACACGCATCCAAATCCATTATATTACAGTCCAAGTAGTTGAGGAGTGAAGCCTTTTTTCAGTCTATCTCCTCACTGCATTGTTTATCCCATAAAGTAAGCAAACCACCACCAGCATCTGCTGTCTTACTTGGATTTGACCCATGATTTCAATCTGTTTCTCCACTAAAACTTTTTACCCTTGATCCTTAAAGATTGCAGTTATCTGATCTGTATACTTCTCTTTCTTCTATTTTTTTTATAAGCACTTCAGATAACTTCTAAAGATCCCAACTACCCTTATTTTTTAATAATCCATATTGCCTAAGGCATTTGACTGCTAGCCAGAAGCCTGGCAGTTCAAACCCACCGGTCATTCCTCGGAAGGAAGGTTAGACAATCAATCTGCTTCCATAGTGATACCGCCTCGGATATCCAAGGAGGGGTCGCTATGAGTCGGATTTGACTCGACAGCAGTGCATTGCATTGTGTTAAGTAATAAAAGAAGCTGCCAAGGACCTATATGGTGCTCAAATTAAGCTGATCTCAAAATAGCTATTAGCTAATTATCTGAGTGAGTGAGTTAACACACTGGCAACTGGTAATGATAGTGATAAGTGTCCACTATAGCCATTCTCTTAGCTTCAGTTTTGAAATCTATGAGCATTTGAGTGTTCTAAAGTCTACTACGGGAGCTCTGGTAGCATAGTGGCTAAGACACTTGCCTGCTAACCAGACAGCTGGCGGTTCAAACCCACCAGCCACTCCTCGGAAGGAAGGTTGGGCAATCCCACTTCCGTAGTGATACTGCCTCGGAAACCCAAGGAGGGGTCGCTATGAGTCGGGTTTGACTCGACGGCATATAACAACAACAACAACAAAGTCCACTACATGCAAGAAAGGTGTTTATGCAGCAGTCATGAAGTGGAAAGCACACTGATCTTGAAATCAGAAGGATTTCAGTCCAAAGTTGGGTCTGCCTCTTTTAATAATGTGTCCTTGAGCAAGCTGGTTAACCTCTCAGAACCTTTGTTTCCTCTTAAAATGGAGTAACACTACCAATCTCCTGCCACCAATGAGAATTAAATGAACTTATCTATTTCCTTGGAATCAGGCCTCTAGGTCATAATTTTGGTGTTTTCCATAAACCATACATTCTCCTTTCATCCAGAAAGCTTAGACTTCTGGCTGCTGGGTTGATAGTTATAAAAGATACACTCTCTTTGCCCAGATCAGAGCAGGCAGAACCTTGCTAATCTTCTGGGCCCTGTCCCCTCCAGGAAGGCTATGGCATTGGGGACGACGAATACTCCTGTGCATATGATGGCTGCCGGCAGCTGATTTGGTACAACGCCAGAAGCAAGCCTCATCTACATCCGTGCTGGAAAGAAGGTTATTCATTCATCTCCATCATGAACTTGTCATCTGAGTTAGGACCACTGGTTACAATGAGGCATCTCATTTTCTTAAAATGTTTTAAAGGAAGAAGATTAAATGTGAAAAGGGATATTAACCTTTTTTACCACTCACTTCCCATGGATATGAATGATATTCCCCTGATAATTTCACCTCTGGGGGAGCCCTTCATGTAGCAAATATATTTCATAATGTAAAATTCTTAGACTAGTGGGAAAATTATAAGATTAACATGTATTCTCATGTCCTGTGTGGGTTTGTTTTGAATCAAAGCAGTCATGAAGATGTCACAGACACTGAAATGATAGTGCCACTAAGCTGAGGATATTTTCAGAAACAAGATGCCTATGAAACAGGCACACTTGTGGCCACATTCTGGACACCTCCAGAGCAGCTTCGAAGGAGCACTGGAGGGCACTTTGAGCCCAAAGACATCTGCTTGGCATCCTCCACTCTCCAGACGCCAGACTCAGGATGCTGCAGGGGCAGACTACCCCAACTCTCAGTTGGGGCTCTAAGATTTTTAGCAGGAATATATCTTATCAACACCATGACCTTTTTGCCCCGTTCAATTTTTGCTCCGTCCACTTGGCCATATCCAAGGCCCTAGACCCATGAACACATTTCTAAATGAAAGATTTAAGTAGCAAAATTCGAGTCACATAGTTAAATACCTAGACTAAAGGATGTATAAGGTTATTGAGTCTTTTTTTTTCCAACTAAATACAATGTAAATATGGCTTTCCTGACATGGCACCACCAACAGGAGTGGGGTGGCACTCTGAGAAAGCAGGGACACATGGTAGGCTTGGAAATCATGTTATTATTGTTGTTATGTGCCGTCGAGTCGGACCCAACTCATAGCAACCCCTCCTTGGGTTTCCGAGGCAGTATCACTACGGAAGTAGATTGCCGCATCTTCCTTCCGAGGAGTGGTTCGTGGGTTTGAATCACCAGCCTTCTGGTTAGTGGTCAAGTGCCTTAGGCACTAAGCTAAGCTACCAGAGCAGTTCTACTCTGTCCTGTAAAGGTTGCTATGAGTCAGAATTTATTCAATATAGTGGGTTTGGTTTTTGGTTAAGATAGAGGCGTTGTCTTCAAACACAAGGTTTTTTGTTTTTTTTTTAATAAGAATTTTAAAAGCTATTTCTGAAATAATAAAAGTTTATTATAAAAATTTGGAGAATAGGAAAAAAATGCAAAATGAATAAAGTTAAAATCACCTGTAGTCTCTCCATCTAGAGATTTTTTAAAAAAACACTTAAACTTTGGTGTATATTTTCTTCTTCTTGTTGTTCAACTTAATATACCTTGAACAGCTTTCCAGTTCATTAAATAACTTTGTCAGTGGCTCCTCAGTATTCCAGTATAGAGTTGTACAAGACATATTAATCAATGCCTTATTGTTGGACATTTACATTTCTGCCTTTTATTATTATTATTATAAACTACTGGATTTTCTCAAGATAAACCTTTAGAAATGAGACTTCTCTGGCAAAGGGACACAGAACGCTGAGCCCTGCTCGGCCTTGCCGATGTTCCCTCCACTAGTTTTCCTCACCATCACTGAGGAATATCGTTTGTTCATCTTACAATTTAAAAAGAAAAGCACTGAAATTCCACTGTTTTTTCTTGTTTGACAAGCAAAGATGATTTTTTTTTTTAATTGAACAGTTATTAGGGAGTTTCAGATCTCACCAGAAAGACAAAGAAACACAAGATTTTGATCTTCCTGTATTTCACTGATCCCAAAATACATATTTTTTTTTCACATTTTAACATCTCTGAAGTTAAGATGCCCCTTGCAGTCGATGGCTTGCCACAGTTTGATTGGCAGGTCCGTTTGCTTAGTGGTAGATGAGAATGTTGGTGTGTAAGGGTCAGCTCAGTTGTAGAAGCTAGGAAGATGAAGGTGTTGCTTGCATGGCTAGAGATGCAGACTTCATGCAGTGACATTGAAGCACTTAGGACACTCAGCACAGTCCTGGTGGGGCACACCATTATCCTAACAGTGTTTCCCTCCCTCCTCTAGGAGACACAGTAGGATTTCTGTTAGACTTGAATGAAAAGCAAATGATCTTCTTTTTAAATGGCAACCAGCTGCCTCCTGAGAAGCAAGTGTTTTCCTCTACTGTGTAAGTAGCCCTTCCTAGTCAAAATTGTGAGTAGATGCATAGGTTGCACTTTTCTCAAAAAAAAAAAAACCTTTGTCCGTTTATGTAGCTACTCATGATGAGAAATCAGTTTATTTCAAGTAACTGGGGACTCACCTGATCATAGATAAAGCTGTCCCCCAGTTTAATACAGGAAGATAAAGGCAAGCTTTTCTCTGGTTCACAGACCTGTCTAGGTTGCTAAACAGAATCTGTGCCACATTTCCTTTCTGCCAGGGCCGCTTTATGTATGAATTTGATCTTGTTTTGGATTGAATCTGTTGACTTTTGTACCCATTTTCACTTGTAGATCGGGGTTTTTTGCAGCAGCTAGTTTCATGTCATATCAACAGTGTGAGTTTAATTTTGGAGGAAAACCATTCAAATATCCACCATCTATGAAATTTAGCACTTTTAATGACTACGCCTTCCTGACAGCTGAAGAAAAAATAATATTGCCAAGGTAAGGAATCTGCCTAGGTTGTCTCCAGATGTTCACATGCATCTTACGAAAAATCTAAACAATTTATGAGATTACTTTACTACAAATAACATTAGTATAAAAACCAGACAGATAAAATACGTACACACACATAAAACTACAAACTAATTTTACTTGAATGTCAGCATAAAATTCCTAAACATTAGAAAATCAAGCGCATCTTGTAACAGACTTGAGTTTATAGAAGCAAACACCTTACTGGGTTTAACTGCATGGCAGAGATGCCAACACTGTTCCACAGCCATTAGGACAGTGAATGCCATCTTGAATAGAATTTCCCAGCCCTTCATTTGAAGACACTGTGATTGGCCATTCACTGTCTGATTGAATGAATGCCTGCTTTTCTTCCTTACAAGATGAATGTGGTCTGTGCCTTAAGCTAGGGGAAGACTTCAGCTGCTACTTGGTAATTACTTCATGTTGAAGCTTGTTTCACTGTGTGAGCCAACAGCTGCATGGGCCTCTGTGAGGAGGATAGTCCTGTTACTGACGCCACATGTGTCATGGCAGTATGAGAGTCTCTCTCAGCAGCCCAGGAGACTGCACTGGCCCTGGGGTAGCCAGTGTTGGCCCCTTATAACTCTGAAGGTATCTGTGATGGAATGATGTAACCTTAGCTCCTTTTTTGGCTCAGAAGCAGGTCTGTAGCAGCCACTGTAGGCTGGACTTGAATATGAGGCTTAAGAGCAGCTCAGCAGTTTCCAGATGAACTAGAAAATGTCACATGGTGGCAGCAGCATTGTCTGTAGCAGCATAATCGCAGTCATATCCTGGGAACAGGCAGGCCACTTAATCCTAGCTGAGGGATCTAAGGCTCATTCCTAAAACTTTCCTTCAACTTGTCTTAGTACCTGACAGAGACTGTGCACGTGAAATTCCTCTAGGTGAAGTCAAACGTAATGCCTTCTTCATCTTACCTGTCATTCTCCTTTCCTCTTTCCTAGGCTGCCTTTTTGTGGGATGCAGCCCACATATAAGCCCATCTTCTCATATAGACCCCAGAAGGAACAACTGATTCATCTAACAATTCCCCCAGAGACTGGCCTTAGTTTAAACTGTTTGCATGGGTATCACCCATCAGAATGTCTCCCTTTAGGGGCAGCTGCTTACTCTCTTGGTGACAGTGTCAAGCTGGCACCCAGAGTCCAGCCTTCCTTGAATAAGAACAGGAGACTCATAGGCTAGCTCAGTCCCATGCTATATCGACACTTTGTTGTCTCTGACAGTGACTCCAAGATAGGCATTGTCAGGAACCTCCTAATGGTAACCTCCTGCTGGTACTTTGCCCCCTTAACATACTAATGGCCCTAACTTATAAATCGTGGCATTAACTGTGAATTTACCTGAGACCTTTGTCTATATCGTTATTATTTTTAGCCTGTGTTCCAAAAGCTCATACTCCACCACCTCATGGTGGCCCACGTGTGTCAGAATAGAACTGTGCTCTGCAGGGTTTCAGTGGCTGATATTTTGGAAGCAGATTGCCAGGACTTCCTTCCAAGGCACCTCCCTGTGGACTGAAACCTCCAACCTTTTGGTCACCAACCGAGTGTGTTCCATTTACACCACCCAGGGATGCCAGCCTCTATTCAGTGATACTTTTTTTTACTCATTGAAATGCCTTTTACTTATTCTAAAACTAATCTTTTTCTGGCTTCAAGGTGGCAGCTCATGGCCCTGCTATGATCTGGGATTTTGTAAATTGTTTTCTACTGTATATACTCTTTTTATCTCTAATTCCTGTCCTTCTAGTCATTCTTTTATTTTTATTCTAAACATTATTATTATGGGAAATCTCAAATACACATAAAGGAAAAAAGAATAGTACAGTAAAGCCCCATTTACCTATCTCAGCTACAGCAGTCATCCAGTCATGTCCACCTGCTTTTTCCATAGTCTTCCCCATCACCATTAATAACCCCATTATCATTCTAGTTTTCCTGGCCATATCCAAGGAGTATCCTTGATGCCTTCCTTTCTGGCATTCCCACATCTGACTCTTCAGCAAATCCTGAGGGCTGTGCCTTCAGAACATATCCCAAATCCAGCTACTACTTACCATGCTCACTGCTACCACCATGGTCCAAGCCTCCATTTCCCACTAGGATTATTATTGCCCTCCATCTGGTCTCCTTGTCCCTGCCTTCACTTGTTTCAGTCTGTTCTATATACCCTCCAGAAGATTTTATTACAGCATAGATCAGATCTGCTTTCTTTCTGCTCAGAAGGCTCTGTGGCTGTCCATTTTATTCAAGGCAAAAGTTTAAATACGTGCAGTGACATACGAAGCCCTACATGATTTACCCCTTCTCTTGCCCCATGATTTATCCCTTCTCTTGCCCCATAACTTCTCAGACCTTCCCTCCTGCCTACTCTTTTTGCTCATGCTCCTTTAACCACCCTGGCCTCCTTGATGTTTCTGAAACATAGCAGAGTTCTCATAGCCTCAGAAACCTTGGCACTTGATATTCCTATTGCCTAAAATGGGCTCTTTCCAGACATCTACAAGGCCCACTCCTCCCTCACTTCATTCAGGTCTTTATTCATGTTTCACTTTAGACCTTCCTGGCCATTCTCTCTCTCTCTCTCTCTCTCTCTCGCACACGCACACGCACACCCCTACCTCCTTCCCACTTTATTTTTTATTTTTCTTCGTAGTACTCATCGGCATTTAACCTGTTAAAAACCTGCTGCCTTCAAGTCACTTTCAACTAATAGCAACCCTATAGGACAGAGTAGAACTGACCCTTAGGATTTCCAGGGCTTTACAGAAGCAGACTACCACATCTTCTGTGGCGTGGCTAGTGGGTTAGAACCATCGACCTTTTGGCTAACAGCTAAGCACTTAGTCACTGCACCACCAGGGCTCTTTCATTACCATTTAGCACTCTGCGTATTGTACTATTTATCTTGTTAATTGTCTGTCTCCTCCCACTAGAGTGTAAGCTCTTTGAAGGGAGGGAATTTTTTTAGTCCTCTGTTCAGTGCTGAATCTCTAGGGCTTTCATGTGCCTGGCACATATAAGCATGAGTGAATGAATGACTGTTTCATGTTTCTCTTGTCCATCCATCAGGGCTATACTTCAGCAGAAGTATTTCTGTCTGTCTGCTTTTCCATTCCACAGTAAGTGAAATTATAACACAAGGCTTCTAACCAGAGGTGTCTGGACTTTCAGGGCATCTACAATGAATCCTCTTGAAATTCTATAAAAACGTGTGTGTGTGTGCGCGCGCGCGCGCGCATGCGCGCACCCACATGTGCATTTTTCTTGGGAATGATTCCATTCTTTTCATCAAACTAATTTTATGAGATGTGTGACTTAAAAGATTAAAATTTGCTGGTAAAATAAAAAGAGCAGTGGACTTAAAACCAAAATTTTGGACTTGATTCCTGATTCTGTTTACGCTCTGTGACCTTAGGCAGATCAGTTCCTTGAATTTTCTTTTCCTCCTGTTTATTTGGTTTATTGTAGTAAAATACACATAACATAAAATTTACCATTTTAACCATTGTAAAGGGGGCACTTCAGTGGCATTTAGTACATTCACAGTGCTGTGCAACCGTCAGCTCTGTCCAGCTCCAGAACATTTTCATCCCCTGGAAGAAAGCCCATCCCCGGGTAGCAGTCACTCCCATTGCTCCTCCCCTCCTGGGAAAGGACTAATCTGCCTTCTGTTGCTATGGATTTGCCTGTTATGGGTATTTCATCAATGGAATCATAGCAGTATATCCGGCTTCTTTCATGCAGCATAATGACTCAAGGCTTAGACATGTTGTAGTATGATAATATTTTGTGCTTTAGGTGAAGATTTACACAGTGTTTTAGGTCCCCATAGTTCTGTACAGGTTGTGCAGTGACATTGGTCACATTCTTCATAAGGTGGGAACATTCTCATTATTTCCATCCTGGTGGTTCCATTTCCACTAATCTACCCCTTCCCCTTAAATTTTCATCTTTGTTGAAGATGACTTTGTAAAGGAGCACAGTACTCACGGGTAGTATTCATTATTTTTTGAGCCAGTTTGTTACTTAGCTACAAGGGGACCTCAGGGGTTAGTTTCAGTTCCAGGTTCATGGCAATAGTCTCAGGTAAGTTCCTTGAATTTTAATTTCTTTAGTGGTAAAATGAGAATGGCCATGACTCCTTCATTCCTTACGTCAGAAAGTCACTGTGAGATTTAAATGAAAACTTCACAAATCTTAAGGAATCCAGAGGATACCTCATGTGCACAGAGGGTTTCCATAGCATTTTGTATGCATCACTGCTGATTAGGCCCCATTATTTGTTGACAAAATGAATTTCAGACTGCTTTTTCTCCTCAGGCACAGGCGTCTTGCTTTGTTGAAGCAAGTCAGTATCCGAGAAAACTGCTGCTCCCTGTGTTGTGATGAGGTAGCAGACACACAACTCAAGCCATGTGGACACAGGTAAGGGGATTGGTGTGACTGTCTCCTTTTATTTACAGCAGGCTGACTTTCATCCTGTTCTTGAATTGCTCTGAGAGCTGTTCATCAAGGTTTGTCTATTCAGAGTGGGCTGGATGAGGAATTAGAACTGCCATGGCTGTCTTCCAGAAAGTCCCTCAAACACATGAAGCTGCTTGGTAGGGAAGGCCTATGTTTTGTTTTGTTTTTCCCCACCCAATACTCTATTTTTATTTATTTATTTATTTTTATTTTAAGAGCTTATTTTACATTCAAAGTCATGCATACATTTAGTTTCATTCCCCATTCGCCATGTCCAACCCTAACCCAGTCTCCTCCCCTCCCTACCCTGCAACCCTCCCCCTGTGCCCCTCATAATTATGCGCTCCTGTTTGCCCTGCATTTCCTCAGTTTGAATGTTGGCCCTTTGGTGTCCCATGTCTATTGCTTTAAGGGATGTATTACCATTGAGTGTGTGGGTGCGGCATCCTGGGTCGAGTGGTCTGCATGTACATCTTGTTAACTATTGGACTGAGAGCCCGCCCCTGGGAGTGAGTTTTATTCCAGGCGCCAAATGTATTTCAGGGCCATAGTATTGGGATTCTCACCAGACTTCATCTGACCAGTAATTCTGGTCATTATTGAGTTTTTGGATTTTGTTATACGTTTCCCCTTCCACTCTATCCAGGATCTCCAGATTTGATCCTTTCCTGCCAATACTCTATTTTTAATACAATTTTCACTTTAATGTTAGTGGCTTAGTGCTTTTTATGAGCTTCTTGGGCAATCTGAGTTTCCGAGCCTTCTCGTTTACACTTCTAACCATGGGGAAAGCAGTAGCCTCCCTGCCATCTAATCAGATTTTAGCTGTATGAGATAAACGCAGAGGGCCACCTGGATTCCAGAGGACAGAGTGTCTAAATATCAGCAGGAGAAGCAAATAAGATAGTTTCCAAAAAGATCATCCCAACTAGGGTTAGAAAAGGGAAGAGAACTTGGGCAGTGCACTGACCCGGCCACACCGGGGCACTTGTGCTGATTGTAAATAAGCAAAACTGTGCCAGTGTTAGAGGCCATCTGGCTGTAATTCATCACATTTGGTGCTCTTCCTTGCTCTTACTTTTTTTTTATTAACTTTTTTTTGTGTGTGATTTGGGTGGAAATTTACAGAGTAAATTCACTTTCCATACAGCAGTTCACATGCACTTTGTCTCATGACATTGACTACAATTTACCACAATGCAACAGCTCCCCCCCACCTTCCTCTCCATAGTTACCTCTTCCCTGTGTCCTTCCCTCCATGCACTCCTGCCCCCTGAGCTGTCTCCCTGTACACAAACAGCCCTTCTTTCTCCCATGATTGTTCTCTCCAAGAAGTGTATCTATCTCTGGTAAATGTTCAACTCATATGCCTGTCAACACCTGGAAGCCACAGGTGTTGGTTCAATTCCAGACCTGAAGGGCAGCTAGGAGCCATAGTCTCAGTGGTTCCACCAGGTTCTATCAGACCAGCAATTCTGGTCCCCCTTTTTTTTTTCCCCAAATGATTTTGAGTTTTGTTCCACATTGTTCTTGCTCTCTGTCCAGGATCTCCTCCATAAATCTCCCTCCAAGTGGTTGACAGTGGTAGCCGGGAACCATCTAGTTCTGGTCTCATAGTTGTATAGGCTGCGGATTGCATGGTGTACCAGCCGCTAGGACTAATTATTTCCATGAATCTTTGATTTTCTTCATTCTTCTTTGCTCTGGACGAGGAGAGACCCATCGTTGCATCTAGATGGCTGCTTGCAAGTCACTACTCACCAAAGTAGGAGGTGGAACAGTGTTTTGTGTAGTATGTTATGCCAATTGTCCTTGCTGTTATTTTTGACATAGCATTAGCCACCAGGTTCCCTAGCCTGGAGTGATAGACCTCAGTTAGTCCTCCCCAGGTGTAACACAGCCCAAGTCCCTGACTCTGTCTCTATACGTTTATTGTCTTTTAAAACGGGTTGTTACCTAACTTTTAGCTGTTAAGGAAAATGCATGCTGTGTATCTCACTTCACCCTTAGCTTTACCAGTCTGTCTTCTGAAAGGAGAGCACAGTGGCTCCAGCTGCTCCAGCTGTGATTGATTATTCCTTGTTTCACCCTGGCAGCCCAGAATTTCTCAGGAGGCATACCTTTTGAGGTGTGGTTATCAGGGCCTCACAGGCAGGTGCAGAGTTCAGGGTGGGATAGCTAGTGCCCTTTTTGATCTTTATTTCTGTAAGAATGTTTAGATCTCAAATAGCATGATCTGATTGTATTCATGAACTGTCTGTTCCTTCCTTTCCAATAGTTTTGTACATAAGGGTTCATTAATAAGAATTAAAATGTAAAAGTTTAGAATTAGCTTTCTTGGGTATAATCGCAATCTGCATGAAGTTATATCCAAACAATGTTGAAAGAGGAAATTAATAAGAAAGTGTACCTCAACTTTAAACAGTAACAACGGAGCATAAGACAAAAATGCCTACTGTCAGCACTGTGACCTATGTTGTTGATCCTGACTCACAGCGATCCCTCCCTGGGTTTCTGAGGCAGTATCTCTATGGAAGTAGATTGCCCAGTCTTCCTTCCGAGGAGTGGCTGGTGGGTTTGAACCACCAGCCTTCTGGTTAGCAGTCACATGCCTTAGGCATTACGCCACCAGAGCTCCCTTGTATAAGCTACGGCAATTAAATAAGAGAAAAAAAAGAAAGAGGAAAACTAGAAGGGAAAGAATAAAATCATCATTTAGAGATGATAACTTGTATACCTGGACACCCCAAGAGAATTGACTAAAAATGTATTTGAATAATGTGAAAATTCAGTAAGCTAGCTGGTAAGGAAAAAAATGAGTAACCCTTCTCTATAGCAACCAGGTAGAAAATATAATTGAAGATTCTTTTTAACAATGGGTAAAAAAAAAAAAGTAAGATATGTTCCAGGAAATGTTGTTGTAGTTGTTATGTGCCGTCAAGTCATACCTGACTCATAGCGACCCCTCATTGGGTTTCCGAGGCAGTATCACTACAGAAGTAGGATTGCCCAACCTTCCTTCCGAGGAGTGGCTGGTGGGTTTGAACCGCCAGCCGTCTGGTTAGCAGGCAAGTGTCTTAGCCACTATGCTACCAGAGATGTAGGCCTATATTCTGAGGCAGCATCACTACAGAAGTAGATTGCCCCATCTTCCTTTCAAGGAGTATCTGGTGGGTTTGAACCTCCAGCCTTCTGATAAGGAGTCAGATGCCTTAGGCACTACATCACCAGAGCTCCTTACATGAAGGGTGGCATGATGGTTAAATGCTCAGCTAATAAACAAAAGGTTGGTGGTTTGAACCCACCGGAAGCTCCACAGGAGAAAAGACTTGGCAATCTGCTCCTCTAAAGGTTACAGTTTCGGAAGCCCTATGGGCAGTTTGTTCTAGGTGGTCCTACAGGGTCCTTTGAGTCGCAGTCGACATCATCAACAATATGTGAAGAAAACTACAACATGGTGTAGAAGACTTGAATAAATAGATCTGTTCTTAGGTGGGATGGCCTCAGTATTATAAAGGTTTTCTCTAACCTCTAAGTGTAATTTGATCCATATAAAAAGGGCAATATGATTTTTTTTTTTTTTCCTGGAAGTAGATGTGCTAATTTAAAAGTTCATGTAATACTAAGGCAAGAAAATTCTGAAAAAGAAGTAAGTTACAAAGAGGATCAACCCTACACATATTAAAAGATGAACTATTCAGTGGATGGTACTGGGATAAATGGCTAGCTGTTTGGAAGGAAATAGCATTGTATCCCAGCCTGCATACACACATCTGTATGTGTACATGGGCTGTATTCCTGTAGTCTTTTCTGCAAGACCACCTCGCACTTTCAACTTGTTGCCTCAGGTCAGGAAGGATTGAGGGTCTGGGATGGAAGGAAGATTTGTTGTTTTATTGTTTAACCACGTATAATTACTATCCTTTCAATGAACAAACTTAACATTTTAAACTTAGTTGGAAGGCAGTCAGGCTCTGAGGTTTGGAAGCATTGACTTAGTGCTGTTTCTCTCTTTCTCCTCAGTGACCTGTGCATGGATTGTGCCTTGCAACTGGAGACCTGCCCATTGTGTCGTAAAGAAATAGTGTCTAGAGTCAGACAGATTTCTCATATTTCATGACAAATGTGAAAAAGCATCATGGACTTATTTCTACTCAATTCCAGCCAATGTTGAAAAGAAAAACAAAAGAAAAAAAAAATCTCAAATCAGTTGTATGCACATTGAAACTTACAGCTATGGCCAGATTTTATGCTAAAAAATGGTAGTTTGTGAAAGACAAAATTCTCTTAGAATCTAACCCAACTTGCCAGCCCTGAGAAATTCCTTTTTAGGCCAAGGAAAGCTGAATGCTCACAGCTAGGCCTGTGATGCTTCCATGAAACACAGTCGGAGACAGCGCCCTCCTGCGTGCTGAAACCACACTGGAATTCTCCATGTTGGGTTCATTTGTTTAACACGGATGTCTTCTCTCATAGTCTGAGGTTTTCATTTTGGGTAGAAATCATTGGAGACGTAAATGAACGTTTCTGGGATGAGCATAACTTCCCACTGGTCAGAGAGACACTGGTGCGTTAAGCGTGGATATTGCACAGCAAGACTTGAATCTATACAATTAGAATCACCCAGGTCAACACGACAGGAAACCTGGAAGACCTGAAGAAGGGGCACAGACTGTAAAAAAAAAACAAAAACAATTTTTTTTTTATATTTCAGTGATTCCAAAGAACATTCTAGTTTTTTTTAATGGCAGAAAATTGGTGGTATTTTCACATTCATGGTGTTTCTATCCAATTTCAGTGCCCACATTTTGTGAGGAAAAAATGTTTTACCAATGCAGGAGGAATTCCTCCATTAATTGCAATGTTAGACTGGAGAAATTTTGGTATTTTAGGGTATTTTTAAGGTACCATCAAATCAGGTTTTTTGTTTTGTTTTTGTTCAGAAAACTTTTTTTTAATCAGTATTGTTTTGGACGTAATATACGTTTAAACTCTTGAACTAATAGTCTCAAAAACTCTAGAGGACAGTCTGAGAACACATACTACTATTGTTTTAAATAAATACGTGTTTTTGAATAGTAAATTCAATCATGGATTGTGACTATGTCTTCATCAAAAGTGTTAATCCCTCTCAGGGTCTATGATGAAGACCTTCAAGAGTTTGGTTTTTTCTCCCAGAAAATTGGAAGGTAGAATTGTAAATTCATAGAACTTATTTTATAATGGTGTACCTCAGCAGCTGCCTTTCAATTTATGCCAAGTCCTTACTGAGTTTATACTTGAATAGTAAATATGTCTTCTGAGTTTTACAGTGTCTTAAACTCAATGCACATTTTTTTCTTCCTTTCCACCCTTCCTTGTTTGTAATTACATTAAATCTGTCCTTAAGCCTGTCCTATTACAGAGCTGATTTCCTTCCTGGGTGTACTTGTTGGGGTGCTGGATTTTTTTCCATGTCTTTAGTCTTCCATAAATTCAAAAAATATATACATATATATACATATATATATATATATATATATATATATATGTTCTCTTCTTTAGCTTGTGGTGAATACAGTAATTTCCAGTGAAGAAATAAAACATTTGTTGCCTTTTTTGACTAAGATTTCACAATTTTCATTGGTGCCTGATACAGAGTTCGAAGGCATACTCTCATGGAACTTAGCTCTGAATAGAGTCAACAGCAGTTGGTTTTTCAGGGTAGGAGAGAATGAAGTATTAGAATTAAGAAGCAAGGCTAATAATCACTGTGCATCCAACAAATCTTTATTGAAGACCTAATATGTGCTAGGCACTTGGGTCTGTGAGATGTGGGAAATAGATCTGATCTGTTCATGGAGCTGGAGTCTGGTAGGGAAGAAGACAATGTATTATTTCAAAGTATTACTGCCCTGAAGGAAAAGAATAGGGTGCTATGGGGGGCCTAATCTAGATAAGGAGGTGTCAGAAGTAGCATTGTCAGGCCTAGAACTGAACTCACTCAAGTGACTCAACGTTCAGCCAAGCCATAAGGCATCAAAGATGAACAATAACACCAGGGGGCTATGCCCTCCTTACAACAATCAACCATATGAATGAGACCAAAAAGGCAGCATTTGCCCAGGGATAAAAAAATAAAAAGTAGCATTAGTAGAAGTAAAAGGTAAATAGGTGATAACCAGGCAGAGACACTGGAACAAGCCTTCTGGAACTGGGTAGCTAGAGGAAAACATCACAGGGAAAGGCCCTAACGGAGGAGAGGAGCTCGCTGACGGAAAGTCCTTGTAGAACCAAGCGGTTAGAGCAGTGTGTTCCGGCGCTGGAGAGTTCATGAAAGCCATGTGGAGGATTTTGTATTTTATCCAAAGGGCAATGGAAAGCAAGGACATTTAAGCATGGAAGTGCCTTGATAAATCATTTTAAAAGATGGCTTTGGCTTCTGTGTGGAGATTAGAATGAGGGGAGGGGACAAGCAAAAACTGGAAGTAAGTAACACCAGCAGGGAGACTCTCGCATAGTCTAGCTGAGGGTAAAGGTGGTGTGGGAAGTCAGTGGAGTGGAGAGAAGTCAAAGGAATACAGTAGCCTGTTAGCTTCCTAGAAATCTGCCTTTGAATCCTGCTTATAAAATGGCCTGCTTTTCCAGCCCTTCTAGACCATAAACAAGAGGACCTCAATATTAAATTGATTAAAGTCACTCAGAATGGAAACAAAATTGTATTCTCGGCACTATTTCAAAGGAAAGACGTTTACTCCACATAGAAGAGAAAAAAACAAACAGGCTTAGCAAGTCATTTGAGAGAGTAAATAATAGATCCATATTCTGCACTGAATGTAAGCATTATGAAAGAACTGAAAGCTAGACCTCCACTGCTAAGATTGTGCCAGGAAAAAAAACATTAAAAGTCGAGGTATGGCATTTTTTCAATCATTCCTTGGGAAAATGCCCCAAGGATCCAGCCAGTTTTTATTTTTAATGAATTTCTACCTTTTTGTGAATGATACAGATAGAGGGAACTCATGCTGCCATTTGTAGAATGCCAGGAAACTGATCCAATCACAGAAACCAAAACCATCTAGCAGTAAATGGCTTGTGTGAATTTCAACCATTTTGAATGTGTATCGATGAAATCTTAAGATCAGTTCTTCCCAAGTTTCTCCATGTTTTGCTATTTATTAACTTAAAAATATTCTTAATACTAACCCATAATGAAGGGGTTAAGAAAAGATTATTGCAAAAATATTTAACACATTCAAGTCAATTTTTTATTTTTCTAAAAGTGGAGAAAAGGCCACCATTCTATTTTCAACAGAAAAACATCATATTTTGATTTCCAGAAGTCTGGTTTGACACCCCAGGAATTAGGGATGGATACCATTATGGTTAAAATTGACTGTTAGGAGTGGCACTGCATCCAGGTGCCAGCCCCACTCTAAATGATCACCAGTATCCATTTAAGGAGCTCTGGTGGCATAGTGCCTAAGACATTTGACTGCTAACCAGAAGGTTGGTGGTTCAAACCCACCATCCACTCCACAGAAGGCAGACTGGGCAATCTACTTCCACAAAGATTTACTGCCCTGGAAGCCCAAAAGGGGTTGCCATGAGCCAGAATTGACTCGATGGCAGTGAGTTTGGTTGGTTTGGTTGGTTTTTTCATGCAAGTACTTAAACCTCTAAGCCTTGGTTTCCTGATCTGCAGAGTGGAAACAATACCCATCTCATAGGGATTTTGTTTTTTCTCAGTGTTTTAAGTATTTCAAAAGTATTTATAAAGTGTTTAGCACAGTATCCAGGCATGCCTGAGTAAGTGGGTATTATTATCCTCATTTGTTCCTAGAGTCAGAGATGCTGTAGTAGACTAAATATGGTCACAAATTCTTTGACATTCCTCCCATCAAGAAGTGAGGCTTATGCCACCCCCTCTTCAGTCTGCACGGGCTCTGTGACTGCTTGACCAACAGAATAGCAGGGAAGTGATCTGCGCCAGTTTCTAGTCCCAGGTCTTACGAGACTAGAAGCTTCTACTTAGGTCTCTTGAAGTACTGGCCTCCAGCTGCCACGTTGTGCAGTAACTCAATCCTCTGGAAGACTTAGATAAAGAACTGAGACCCTCAGCTCTCTAACCAACAGCCAAGCTGAGATCCCAGCCAAGAGCCAACACCAGCTGGCCAGCCATCCCAATGCAAAGAGGTCCCTCCAGCCCCATTTCAGCTGCCCCAGCTGATGCCAAGAGACCAGCTATCCCCTGCCAAATCCTGCCTAACTCCAGATTGGTAAGTCAAAGAACTACATTTCCAGGTGGTTTGTAAAAGCAGTAGACAACCAGGATGATGAAATCACCAAGTTTCATTCTTTTGCAACTCTGACCCCATAAAAGACATTGTGTTAGTAGGAAGAGCAGACAGATTCATGTTGTCCAGAAGAAATAAGTTGGTATACAGAGAAAGTAGGTCATGAGGAAATTTGCTGAGTTTGCTATGGGCTTTTGGGTGCTTGACTAAACAGCACTTGGTTCAGCTTATCCAGCAGACCTTTGTAAATGTCCAGTGCAAAGCATGGTAAGAGAATGTAAATGCCTAGTGTTGTCGGAAGGGACCAATCCCTGGAGAAAGATAGCATGCTTGGTTGAGGGTCAGCGGAAAAGGGGAAGACCCTCAACGAGATGGATTGATACAGGGGCTGCAACAGGGGGCTCAAGCGTGACGATTGTGAGGCTGGCCACGATGGGGCAGTGTTCCACTCTGGTACATACGGACACTATGAGTCGATGGACTCAATGGCACCTAACAGCAACAACAGTGCTAAGCATAGTTCACCGCTCTCAGAAGAGATCTCACCCTGGATATAACTGCATCTTTGTTAAGATAGTTAAATCACCTTTAGGGTAAACCACCTTTAGTTCCAGATCTCACTAATACCTATTTTATGTCTACCTGACCCTCAAGATCAAACCTAAGCCACCCCCTAAATCCCTCTAGACATATACCACACATTTGGTCAAAAATTATCATGCAACCAAAGAGACATAATGATGCTCAGTGGTCCAATGGCACAAGTCAGCCATGCCAAACCCAAACCAAACTTACTGCTGTCCAGTTGATTTCGACTCATAGCGACCCCTTCTTGGGTTTCGGAGGCGGTATCACTATGGGAGTAGATTGCCCAACCTTTCTTCTGAGGAGTGGCTGGTGGCTTGTACCGCCATCCTTCTGTTAATGTTGTCAGCCATAGGGAATTCTTTTGTAAAATTTAGCACTATTTTGGAGGGGACCTGTCTTGGGGCAAAGTAATCTGGTTTCTGATTGAGTTGCTCAAAGTGGTTCTATCAATTTATCTTGCACAATTAGCCAAGAAACCAGTTACTGCCAAATAATCTTTACGGTGCAGATTATGATGTAAATTACAACACATCGAGGGCTTGTGACTGGGCTTTACTTCCACGAGGGGGAGTAACTGTCTTGCAAATCAGATGTCTACAGTATCTGGTTCTAGAGATAAAAGAATTGACTTTCCAGCGATTTGCAGTTTACAGTGCTCTTAAAACATGCTTTAGTCCTTACAAAGACCCTACACAAAGTGCAACTTATCCATAAATTGCAAATGAGAAAACTGACGCTCTTGGTTTCAATTCTTTCATCCATAAAATGAGTGATATGTGATTTTTTTTTTGCTACACGGAACGTGAACATTTCAGTAAATCCTCAGTGCTGACCGATGACCAGATTCCCTTCGCAGCTTTCTCTCCCTTTCCGGTCCTTCCTCTCCCATTCTCTTCCTCCCTCACCGTTTTTGTCCCGCCCCTGGCGTCTGGTAACGTGCGCTGTGATTGGCTGTTACAAGCTCACAAGCGGGAGTTCGGGGCCGGGACTGGTGCGGTGACCATGGTGACCGAAGGCGGGGCGCGGCACCCAGCGGTTAGTAACCGACGCCTGCAGGCGCGGTGGCGGCGGCGTGCGCAGAGCGGCCTAGCGGCAGCGGGAAAAACCTCAAGCCCCAGCGGCGAGGCTTCCTTCCGGCCAGCTGACGCGCCCTCGATGCCGTTGGAGCAGTGCGGAGCGGAGACTGGGCCTGGACCGCAGGCGGAATAGGAAGCCGAGGGGCAGGCTCGCCCGCGGCAGTGGATGCAGCGGCGGCGGCGATGGACGCCTTAGAGGAAGAGAGCTTCGCGCTGTCCATGTGAGTGACGCGTCGACCTCGGCTCTGTAAAATGGTCGCCCCCGGAGTTGACGGACTCCGCCGCAGATCCCAGTCTTTGTAGTGCGACTGCTGCTACCGCGAGGCCACAGGGCTCAGGCTACGGGACCAGAGAGCGGGGTGGTGGTACCAGTTACCAAGCTCATCCCCAGCCTCTGGCCCAGCCCCTTCAGCAAAGCCCAGGCGGGTCTGAGCTGCCGAGGCCTGGCCGCGGTCAGACCATCCTCTCTGCCTTCCGGCCGCAGCCCCAGGAACTCCTGATCCCGGCCAGGATCTTACCCACGCCGGATTCATGCGCAGAAGCAGATGAGGGTGGGATGGTACCGAAGGTGCAGTGAGTAGATGCTGCAGCAAATGCAGCGCAAGGCGCTTTTATGTTGGACGCGAGCCTTTGCTTCGTTTGCCCCCTTCGTAATCCATTGTGTCATAATCAGCTTTTCTGAAAGTAGAACCTTATTTCACCGTCATGTCAAGGATGTGTAAAATAGGTTTTAGGTTTGGGATTGCTAGAAAAACCCACTGCCACCGAGTTGATTCCTACTCATAGCGACCCTGCAGGGCAGAGTAGTCTCCAAGACTGTAAATCTTAAGGGAAGCCGACTGCCCCAGCTTTCTCCCTCCAAGAGGCTAGTGGCTTCGAGCTGCTAATCTTTGGCCACCAGAGCACCTTTTTTGGAATTGCTAGATTAGTTAATAATTATTTTTAGTTGTTGAAACTGGGTGATGAGAAGTTGATTTTACTATTTTTTTTTGTGTGTGCAATGTTTTAAATGTCCTTTTTTTTTTTTTTTTTTAATTTAATGATTTGAAACAGCACCTAATCCAGGCATGTTAATTTTCAGCTCTTCCGCCTCTGACGCAGAATTTGATGCTGTGGTTGGGTATTTAGAGGACATTATCATGGGTAAGTGCCCCACCGCAACCTGACCTGTGCTCTTCAGTTTGTTCTTAGACCCTTGCTTTTAAGGACATTGAAATCAATTTGGAAAGTTGATTTTTTTAAAAAAAGAAAAGAAACATCAAGATGCATGTAATTATTAATGTAGTGCAATATAACAGTAAAAACAAAACCCAAACTCACTGCCATGGAGTCGATCCCGACTCATAGTGACCCCTCCTTGGGTTTCTGAGGTGGTATCTATAGGAATTCTTCCTTTTGCGAAGTAGCTGGTGGGTTTGAACTGCCAGCCTTCTGGTTAGCAGTCAAATGTCTTTGGCAGTATGCCACCAGAGCTCCTAGTTTTGTGGGTTTTTTTTTTTTTTTTACTTGATTTGCCTTAAAGGCAAATAGCCCCAGTACTCAAAACAACTAATAACTATAATTTCATGACCTGGGTGGGATTTAGTCAGGTATTGGGGCACTGAGAAGTTATGGGGCTCTGGGCAAAACTTCAGGAAATATTAACCTAGGTTATTTCATTATATGGGCAGTTTCACTTTGTAGATAGTTTTGAGTTTCACCATTTTCATGCCATGCAACACAGTATCAAACCATAACCATAAGCCACTTGTCCATGAAGAAAACAAAGTATCAGACTTCAGCAGAATCTGTGTTTTCCTGGGTTTTGAGTTTCTATCTGTGGATATGTTTTAGCATTCATAGATCTTGCTGACTAACAGACAAGCAGTAACAGGCAGCAAAAGTTTAAAAGAGATATTATGCAGAGGGGGAAAAAATTTATATATATATATATATATATATATATATAATTTTCCCAGTTTTGTCTGAAAATCACTGATCACATTTTTGTCCCTTCAGGTCCTATAAAATTAATGCCCTTAACTCTTAAATGTAGATGTTTTCCCATTAAACTCTTATCCCCTGTGGATGTGTGGCTTTCTGAGGTATCCACTCACTTCTGTGGCCCTTTCTGAGCCTGTGTGCTGAAGGAGAATGAGCCTCCTGTAAGCCAAGTGTATTTAGCCCGGAAGTGTGGGTCCCTGTGAAGCTTTCCTTCTATTGTTAGAAATAACATTCCATTTACTTTTTAAATTGCCTAACATTAGATGCTCACTGTAAACTAATCTCTACATAAATTCGCATCTGAAAGCCACCTCGCAGGCCTTTCACACAGGAACCTGCACTGCTCTCATTTTCCAATTTTCCAGGTGAAGAAACTGAGCCTTAGAGAACTGAACCAGCCAGAGGTCACACGAGGAGCATTTTGGCGCCTGTCAGAGCCCATACTTTTAATGACTATTATAATTAAAAGTTCATTCCTTTACAGAAAAGGATTAATGTGAGGGAGTCCCAAACCACTGAAATGGACTAGATTGGTTGAAAGATCAACATCCTTGTCGCAGTGAACATGCTGCCCCCTGCAACACCATCAGCTTCCCCTCCCCTCGAGACGGGCTGTTAGGAAGCAGTGCTGTTCTGCCTGCTTACGCAGCAGGACAGGGTTCAGTCTCCGTAAATAGGAATAAATCTTCTCTGTTGTGGTCCAGATGACGAGTTCCAGTTACTACAGAGAAATTTCATGGACAAGTACTACCAGGAATTTGAAGACACGGAAGAGAATAAACTCACCTACACACCTATTTTTAATGAATATGTAAGTGAATTTCTGTTTCTCTTAATACGATATTAAGATTTCTTTAAAGTTTAAATTTAAAATCGAAAGATGTTAACATTTGCTCCTGATCTTTTCAAACTTGCCAGCAGCCCAGTGGCAGGCGTCCTAATTGGAATCGGGTTTAGTCCTCGTCCCTGGTCATTACTCCTTCGCACGACTCTGCAGGCTCTTCTCCAGGCTTTCGGGCAAATGTTTGACGGTCATATTTGGAAGACCTTTGGCCTCCGGTTGTCTGACCTCTACCTTTCTTGTATACTTTTGACCTTTTTCCTTCCACCAAAACCAAAACCAAACTCAGTGCCATCAAGTTGGCTCCAACTCATAGTGACCCCTCCTAGGGTTTCCGAGACGTTATCACTTTGGAAGTAGATTGCCCAGCCTTCCTTCCAAGGAGTGCCTTCTGGTTAGCAGTCAGATCCTACCTACTAAAAACCAAACCCAACTCATAGGTCCCTACCTTGTTGGGAACAAAAGCAAGACTCAGGAACCTCAACTCTTGATCCTTGGGGCTTTCCACTGTACCCTGGGCCTCTGGTGGCCTCCTGGGATTAGTTACCTCATCTGCCTAAGAATAGGCTTCCATCTCCAGGAGTATTTCCTTAACCTGGAAGCTTAGCAGGATCAAGGGAAGTGTCATTGAGCCCAGCCTCAGCTGGTGAAACCTGTTTAGAAGGAACTGATGACTGCCACCCACTTCTTTTTACAAATTCCTTCTACCAAAGAAAATCTCCCACTTACTTCATCATTCCTTCTTGCCATGGAGGTTAAGAGCCCCTCTGCTGTTTTTACCTATATGAACAATATAATGACCTGTGGCGGCCTCTGCCCCCTGGTAGGCTGAGTACTACTCGGGGTCTGTATTTTGCTTTTTTGGCATCCCCAGCACTCAGCATAGAGCCTGCAACATAGCATAGACTCTCAGGAAGTATTTGTAAGGCAGGAGGACAGGCTTTCTGAAAAAAATGTATGGTTTCCTGACGTGTGACCTGACCAAGATGCATTCCACTGTTGTAGCTTTCTCTGGTAGAGAAGTATATTGAAGAACAACTGCTGGAGCGGATTCCTGGATTTAACATGGCAGCTTTCACCATGACATTACAGTGAGTTGAACTAAGATGCTCTATCTCTTTATGGGCTCATCCTTTTCTCCAGTCTGAAAAAAAAAAGACACCACCCCAGCCCGTTTTTCAGTGGCTGCAATGGCAGGGCCGAAAGCACCTGAACCTCAGAGCCTTTGAATGAAGTCCACGCGGTGTCTGTTCCATCATTCATTCCTGAAACAGCCGTCCTCTCCTTTTGCAGGCACCATAAAGATGAAGTGGCTGGTGACATATTCGACATGCTGCTCACATTCACGGACTTCCTGGCTTTTAAAGAAATGTTTCTGGACTACAGAGCAGTAAGTCATCTCTGCCTGGTTAGTCAGCCACATGGAACCACTTGGTTCCACCAGCTATGAAACACAGACTACGTCCTATGCTTCTCCCATCGCTCCCCCTTAAGACTGGCCAGGATTAGCCTAGCAGCTAGCAAGGTATCAGAAGAGTGAGCTGCGGGCCTTCTCTGCCCACGACCCAGGCGCAGGGGGGATCCTTGCAGTCAAATCCCTTTCTCATGTTGTAGTGAAACAGCCCCTAGCACCATCTCAGGGGCTCTAATGAAAAGGGCAAAACCACAAAGCAGGTCTGGCTGCTCTTGCATTTCTTATAATGCAGGCTCTTTATGGGGAAAAATCAATGTTTTTTGGTGAAGAGAGGTACATTTAAGGGACCTAGGGCCAGAGCTGAGCAAAACCACCTCTCTCCTCTCATGTACCCCCTGGCCACCCATACTGGCCCTGAGCTCCTCTCTTCCTGAACCAGAAGCAGGGTTTTGCACCAGAACGTACTCTTCTGTTTCTTCCCCCTTGAAGTCATTTCTTTTCTCATGTAGGAAAAAGAAGGCCGGGGACTAGACTTAAGCAGTGGCTTAGTGGTAACTTCATTGTGCAAATCGCCTTCCATGCCAGCTTCCCAGACCAACCTGCGGCACTAGGTCCCACCTCCAAGCTATAGGATCCTCGTGGACGTCACCAGCCCAACAGACTGGGAGAGACTGACGACAGAATATATCTTGGATTTTCCTCTGCCACTCTTCTCCTCATTAAGTATTGATGGGTCCAAAAGAACATTACCTGACCCTCCATGACCTTTCTCCTGAAACACCTTATTTCAGTAGCCCTAGAACTTCCTCCCTAAGTAGACACCTCTCAGGTGCTTCTGAGCCACACTCTCGGGACCAAGCTGAGATGTCCAGCATCCCACCTTGGGCCCCTTTCCACAGTATACATGTTAGTGTGTTGACAGTGTAGAGTAACCCACCATCATGAACCCACTTTGTCCCAACAGGCTCTGCCGCGCCCTCTGCGCTCATAGCTCTTACTTGGGCCAGTTGTCAGTGCCTCAGCCTCAGTGGGCCCAGCCATCTGGGGTTTTCGACTGCTTGGGAGTGTTGATGTGGGGTTTTACTAGAACCAGCTGCCCGCCTTGCGATTTCTGCCACTATGAACCCAGCTGGTCTTGGCGTGGGATTCAACTGAGAGAGCTGCCCTCTGTCTAAAGCTACATGTGAAAACCACCTCCCAGTCGTGTCTGTGTGTAGCCCTTTATCACTGTCTTCTGCTGTCCTGATGTAGTCCACTATTTCTAAACATTAATATTGAAGGAAATATTTTTATAGATTAACACTCAGGCTCAACTAGTGGATCTAATCTTGGCAAATCCATGATTACCCACTTAAAGATCAAAGTATTATATGCTGTGTGCTTTTCAGTTGTTAGTTCCACGCAGGCAAAACGGCTTTCTGCGTTGGCGTTCCTGTTCTCCTGGGCACCGGGGAACGTATGCTGTGCTGGAGGTAGACTACACATGTCCTTTTTGTATAGCATGTTAAGTGTGTTTGTGCAGGTTTGCAAAAAGCCCTTTCTGTTTGTTAGGTTGTCTGTTGGGGTGGGGTCTACACTGGGAAAAACCGTGACTCTGCAAATCCTTCTTCCTGCCAGAATCTCCTACCAGTTACCAAGATTGTGTTCCTGGCCTAGCTTAGCATGAGCTGCAAGCATTAATGGTCATGACTGGCACTGGTTTTAGTCAAATGCTTGCTGTAAATTACTGCAGAAAACATGCCTGTCACATTCTCAAGAAAGAAAAAACCTAGCAGTTTCACCCCACTAGATACCTTTGAGATATATATATATATATATATATATATATACACACA